CTTTTACTTTTATGTCAAGTATACTCCATTACCCTATCTTGTTCCACCTCCCATTAGAACTCTTTCTCTCTCTCATAGACCCCTTTCTATGTTTGTGTCATATATACATGTGTGTATGGTATATATGCATATATACACTTAAATCTAGATTCCACATGGGGGAGAAAACATGCAGTGATTTGTCCTTCTGAGCCTGGCTTATTTTGTTTAATGTCTCCAGTTCCATTCATTTTCTTGTGAATGTCATAATTTCACTCTTCTTTATAGCTAAATAAAATTCCACTGTGTATATGGGCCATGTTTTCTTTATCCAGTTGTCTATTGATAGGCATCGAGCCTGATTCCATCCCCTGGCTTTTGTGACTGGTACAGCAATAAGCACGAATGAGGAAGGATCCTTGTGCTCTTCTGACTCGGTTCTTCGGGTATATACCCAGGACTGGTACAGCTGGATCACATGGTAGCTCTGTCTTTAGTTTTTTGAGGAATCTCCATATTAATTTTCACCGTAGCTATACTACTGTGGAGTCCCACCAGCAGGGTCCGTCTCTCCACCCCCACCCCATTCTCACAAGCATTTGTTGTCATTTGCCTGATGACAGTCGCCCAGCCTTGGGCAAGATGGAAACTCAGTGTGGTTTTGATGTGCACATCTGCACATACAGTGCTGGTCCCACATTTTTCGGCTGTGGATGAAACATCACCAACCCATCTCACACCCAGATGCAGCCTCGCGGTGCTTCTAAACACAACACGGGTGCCAGGGCCAACCTGCCCAGACTAAAACACACATTGAAATACTTACATCTACCCTCCTGGTGAGGGGTTCCTAACGAAGACAGAAAACAGTCTGATACCAGTAGATGTCTTTGCTTATGTGTCAGTGCTGCTGCTTCTTTTTTTTTTTAATATTTCATTCATCACCTTCATTCCATGTGTGTGAGTGTATTGCCCACATACAGCGCTACTTCCTAGTAACGACTGTTTCTGTTCCATTTGTTTAAAGTGAGAACAGTCCATGTATAAAACATTATCATATCAAAGAAACAAACGACAACCCTAAGAGATACTATGTGGCTGAGAAGTTCGTGTTTGACTCCATCCCTCTTCTCATCAAGTACCATCAATACAATGGAGGAGGTAGGTTCTAGGGGGCAAGGTCAGAAGGCAAGCCTCACCTGGAGCCTTTGAAAGAAAGGGCAAGTCCCAGCCCAGTTCTCCATGCCACACTCTGGCCATAGATAGTAGCTAGAGACGCAAATAGAAAGGGACACCAGATGCCTGGGATCTCCCACGCCAGCTGCCAACAGCGTCTGCTGTGCAGATCACGGACACCACCATCTCCCATGTGGTTAGGAATCTTCTCAAGGGCTATGTGATTAGTGCTGGGACTTTGAGATTTGTTTTCCAGAATAAAAGTAGCTATTGCAGGCTAGCATTTTTTTTTCCCCTAGTGATTTCCTGTTGTAGACAGTTCCTGCAGCAAAGCCCTAACCACAACCTTTGACTTTTCTGTCACCCCAGGTCTGGTCACTCGACTCCGGTATCCAGTTTGCTCCTGGAGGCAGAAAGCCCCAGTCACAGCAGGTCTAAGATACGGTGAGCTGTGGAATCCCAAATGCTCAGTATTTGAGCTAAGTTCACACCCCTAAAGGTCTAGGGCAAATTCTAAGAAGATGTGTCATTAACCTAACTTCTGACTTCAGATGACCATGAGAACAGGTGTATTACATACATGGAGATGGCAAGACTAATGAACATATACAATTGCATAAGTTGTGTGTGTACCAATACATTTATTTAGGCCTAATCTGCTTTGGCTTTAATGAAGATTCCATCAATGAAGAGCTTGTTGAAATGATATTAGAAAAATATTAGCAAACAGTTCCTTAGTACTGTGCTCTATTTATCTTCTGGAACTTTCATTATTATCTTGTATGGGTCTTTTGCAAGGGTTGTGAGCTGGCAACATTCAAGTGTTTACATAGCAGAATGTGAAGGTTTTTTGGTCCGGAATGGACCTCAGTGGCAAAGCCCTTTCCTAGCATGTGTGAGGCCCTGAGTTCAATGCCCAGCACCATAAACAATTTCCTTAATGTCTTTTAGTAGGGCCCGTACCTCCAGTGCCTCTGTTCTACTGTGTTCTCTGCGCCCCACCCCCCAACTGCTTCCCTCCTTGGAACTGTCTGCTTAGAACCTAAAGGCATTTAAATCTTCATTCCTTGGTCCAAAGGGTATTGTTTGAGGAAGAGACTGCTCTATCTAGCCTTCACTTTGTACCTGGCTGAAGGTTCTCAAACTTCAACATGCAACAGAATCTTCTGGAACACATCAAAAATGCTTGTTCCTGCCAGGTGTGGTGGCACATGCCTATAGTTCCAGTACTCACGAGGCAGAGGCAGGTGGATCTCTGTAAGTTCAAGGTCAGCCTGGTCTACATAGTGAGTTCCAGGACAGTTGGGGTTACAGTGAGACCCTGTCTCAAAAAGGAAAAAAAAATGCTATTCCTGTACACTCCCCAACACTTACCAAAGCTCTCCCTGAGAGCAGAGCTTAGAGTCTGCATTATGAACAAGTGAGTACTTTCCTGGCCAGGAAAGTACTTGGAGAAGCACAGCCATGGACTCTTCATCCCCAGCCTGCAGCATGTGTGGCACAGAGTGGACCCTCACGTGCTCCTTGCTGTTGAGCCCTGTTCCTCAGATTTGGTTGACACTTGGTTGTTTCTAGTACTAGACCGAGCACCAGGAAAGGGTACTGCATCATTATCCTCCTTGTGAAAATAAGAGTATCCTAGTAATTGTGGGGTCCTGAAATGTCTGTGATGCATGGGATCACAGAGATTATCTGGACAGCCCATTTGTTTTGTCAGTGGGAAAGTTGGGACTTAGATCATTTTATTTCTTTACTGAACAGTTAAGAGCCTGCCATGGGGCTGGAAGAATGACAGTTACACGCTCATATTAAAAGTTTAAAATTGTGGGTGGAGATAGCATGGAAAGAAAAAGGAGGCTGGCATTGAGAGATACAGAAGACCAAATGAGAATTGTTGCAGGTTCCAGTCATTATTTACATCTGATTATAAAGTTTTTATTGTCTTTAATATATATATATATATATTTAAAGATTAACTTAAAAATTTTTAAATTATGTGCATGCATGTGTGTCTATGTGTGGGTATGTGCATGTGAGTCCAGGCTCCTATGGAGGCTAGAAGAGGGCTTTGGACCCCCTAGATCTGGAGTTACAAGTAGTTGTGAGCTGCCAGATCTGGGTGCCAGGAACAGAATCTGGGTCCTCAAGAAGAGCAGGAAGTGTTCATAGCTGCTGGGCCATCTCTCTAGCCCCGCCATCCACAACTTTAATGGGTTTGTGTCTGTATGCTTTGTTACTATAGCAGTCCTAAGTCTAGAAATCACAGTGTTTGCCATTTTGTTACATTAGTCATATGCTAAAATCTAGATAGGGCTGTATATACATCTGGGAGTGCTATAGCTTATGGGTTACCTGCTCTAAAAACACCTCCTCCCTTTCTGTCTGTTCCAGGAAAGTGGGTGATTCACCCCTCAGAGCTAACTTTTGTGCAAGAGATTGGCAGTGGGCAGTTTGGGCTGGTGCATCTTGGCTACTGGCTCAACAAGGACAAGGTGGCCATCAAGACCATCCAGGAAGGGGCGATGTCAGAAGAAGACTTCATAGAGGAGGCAGAAGTCATGATGTGCGTGAGAGCACGGGCATGCAGACCTCCTTGGGAGGATGCCCTGGGCTGTGTTCTTTAAACTCTTCTCTGATCATGTGTCGTGCTACATTCCACGCTAACGTCCCAGTAGTGGCAGCCTCTTACACAGAGAATAAAACCTCGTGAGGGCTGAGGAGATGTCTCAGTTGGTAATGTGCTTGCTGCACAAGCATGAGGACCTGAGTTCCATCTCCAGAACTCATGTTTTTTAAAAAAAAAAAAAAAAAAAGCTGGGCATGGCATGGTGGCATGCATTTGGAATTCCAGTGCCAGGGAGGCAGAGGCAGAGACAAATGGATCCCTGGAGCTTGCTGGCCAGCCAGCTTAGCCTACTTGGTGAGTTACAGCCCTGGGAGATCCTGCTTCAGAAAAGAAGAGTGCCTGAAGAACAACATCCATGGTTGACCTCTGACCTACGAGGGAGACAGAGGGAAGGGAGGGAGGGAGGGAGGGAGAGCACAAGAGCCCCTTGGCATAATCTAGAGGATCCGCCATTGTCTGGCACTCCCGGTCTCCTGGCCTACCCATCTCTCCTCTGGTACGTTACCACCAGCCACACTGGCTTCTGTCCAGCTTCATTCATTACCTGCTGAACCCCTGCCATTCTCAGACCCAGATCCTGGCTTATCTACATTCACTCCTGTGACTCCCTTCCATTCTCAGACCCTGGCTCCCATGACACTCTTTTTTTTTTTAACTTTTACAGAAATTTTATTGAAAATTTCATACATGCATATAAGGTGTTTTGAGCAAATCCACGTCCATTCCCTCCCCTCCAACTCCTCCCATAGCTCCCCATCACTCTTTTCCTCTTTTTTTCTTCTTTCATTTATTCATTTTTATGGGATTTTTGGGTACTCTAACATTCCCCCCCTCAAAAAGGTAACCCTAAAATCTTTTAAGGATTAGATACAAGCTCCCAAATACT